GAGGAGGAGGAGGAGAAGAAGAAGAAGAAGAAGAAGAAGAAGAAGAAGAAGAAGAAGAAGAAGAAGAAGAAGAAGAAAATGATCGAAAATGGGGAAGAAGAAAAGTTAATGGAGAATTGAGTTTAACCGAGGAAGTGACGGAATGTCACCTCGGAGTAATTTTTTGTTACTTTAAGGTACCCCGGAGTACATTTTAAAAAATAATGGGACCTGGCAGTTCTTTTCACAAAATCTAGGGTACCAGCAGTAATTTTTCGATTTTATTTGGTGATTTAATTGTATTAATTCTATAGTTTGATATAATTACTAAACAACTTATGGTTAATAGTTCTTAGATGATTTATTATTTAAGTTAAAAACATATTATTTTTTATTATTTTATATGATATTTTTAAGGGCTAAATATATTTTTAGTCCGTTAAAAACAGGAGAGTTTTGGTTTTTGTCCCCAAAAAGTATTTTTTGTTTAAATCGTCCATTTTTTATTTTTATAATGATCCTTATACGTGATTAAGACTTTTAGGGCCTGTTCTTTAGGACTGTAAAAAAAGAGCTAGATGTTGGAAGAAGCTGGAAAGAACTGGAAGGAATTGGAAAAATCTGGAAAGAACGGGAAGAAACAGGAAGGAACTGGAAGGAACTGGAAAAAACTGGAAGATACTGGAAGGAACTAGAAGGAACTGGAAAAAACTGGAAGGAACTGGAAGAAACTGGAAGATACTGGAAGAAACTGGAAAAAACTAGAAACCTAAAAAAACTTTAAAAATATTTATTTTAAATTCTTTTTGTTATAAATTATTATTATTATTATTATTATTATTATTATTATTATTATTATTATTATTATTATTATCATTATCATTATCATTATTAGGGATGACAATTTAACCCGAACCCGATCTTAACCGACCCGACCGACCACTAAAATATTTGAACCCGAACCGAGAATAAAATAATCCGAACCCGACCCGAAATTTTTTACCCGAACCCGACATCGGGTCGGGTCGGGTCGAGTGTGGGTTTATTATTTTATCCGACCCGACCCGAACCCGAACCCGACCCGACTCAAACCCGAATATTTTATAACATAAAAGCCTATCTATAAATATAATGAGCACTCCGTATAATCTCTTGACAAAGTGCTACTATATCAAATATGCCATTTATAATCATTTTTATAATTCCTTAATAAAAAAATGAGACGCAAAAAAATTAGATGTAATCTTTTTAAAATTATTGGGGTGCAATGAATTGATTATTGGTTAAAAGTCGGGTTTGGGTTTCAGGTTGGAATGTCGAGTTCGGGTCGGGTCTGGTTTTTGGCTTAAAAAGTCGGGTTTCGGGTCGGGTTCGGGTTTCGGTTTTAAAAGTCGGGTCGGGTTCGGGTATAGTACTATCCGACCCGAACCCGACCCATTGCCATCCCTAATCATGATCATCATCATCATCATAATCATCATCATAATCATCAACATAATCATCATCATCACGTTATCTTAGTGAATGTCTTTAAAATATAAAAAAAGTATTATTTTTTAAATACAAAAAACTACTTTTACAAAAAAAAATTATAATATAAAGTTAGCATAAATATAAAAATATTAAATTTTAAAAAGGCTGTGTAGTTATATTGCACCTCAATTTATTTATGCAGTATTTATTATAAATAATGTATTTGTAATTATAATTTATATATTAAAACATTTTTTTAAATATCATACATGTCACATAATCAAACATATTGTTTCTTTCATGATTGACATTTTATTTTCATTAAATTCCTATTTTTGGAATTAAGACATAGAACTTTTTTGATTACAGTTTTTATGTTTTACTCATATTTTAGTCTTTTTTTCTAAGCTCTTTTGACTTATAATTTTTTTTATAAAAATTAGAAAAATGAGCAATTTTTAAGTATTAAAGGAAAAACTGAGATGTCTTATAAAAAGTTATATTAATAAAACATTCATTGTAACTAATTTATCCATACTTTTTAGTATAATTTAACATATTGATATTTTCCTGTTTTATCATGTAGACTAATATACAAAAAAATGTCTTATTCATATTAAAAAGTTGAAGAAAAAAATAATAAGTGTGAATCGTAAAAATATTGAGATGAAAAAAAAATTATAAACTACAGTTATGAATATAACAGTTGTAATATTAATAATAATAATAATAATAATAGTAATAGTAATAGTAATAGTAATAGTAATAATAATAATAATGATAATAATAATAATAATAATAATAATCACATTGAAATATACTCCCTCCATCCTAATTCCACCTTCCCACATTGACTTTTTCCCATTTTTAAGGACTCCATATTTTTACCTTTGACTTCCCATTTTGCCCCTTACTAAAAATTTTAGGAAATTTTTTTTAAGGCTAACTAAAAAAAGGTTAAAAAAGGGA